TTATTGTTGTTCAAGTACAGCTGTCTCCATTTTCCCCGCCCCGCCCACCCTCAATCCTTCCCCCTTTTGACTTTGTCCATGTGCCTTTATACATGTTCCTTGACAACCGTGCCCCTTCCTTCCCCGTTATCTCCCTCCCACTGTCCCCTCTGGTCACTGCTAGTTTGTTCTTTATCTCCATGTCTCTGGTTCTATTTTGCTTGCTTGTTTTGTTCATTAAAGTTTCCCTTTTATAGTAGGTGCTAATCATTTTGATCTCTGTCCTACCACTGTATTTTATCTTTGTCGTCTTTTAAACACAGGTTCAGAAGAAGACAAATTTCGTCCAATTTTATTTAAATAACGTGTTTTAGTTTCCTTTTAATGAACTAGATCTGGTTCTAGTTCTTGTGCCTGACTTATACACTCCAATACAACAATGATCACAATTATTTTTTCCCTTGACATTGAACTTAAGTGCAGAGTTGAGACTTTTCTGTTCACGAAATTTCTAAATATGTAATTATAAATGTGGTGGGCTTACAGCAGTGTAATTAAAATTTGTGGAAGGTTAAGAAATAAAGCAAACTGGTATTTCTTTTTTGACTCTTTTAAAAAAATATTTTACTTATTTTCAGAGAGAGGGGAAGGAAGGGAGGAAGAGAGGGAGAGAAACATCAATGTATGGTTGCCTCTCATACGCCCCTTACTGGGCATACTGCAACCCAGGCATGTGCCCTGACTGGGAATCAAACCAGCAACCCTGTGGTTGATAGGCCGGCACTCAATCCACTGAGCCACACCAGCCAGGGTTCTTTTTTTGTCTTCTAAATTTGGTTCCTAATAAGTGGCTAATCAAGGATATAATTTCTAATATATTATTTCTCCTGTATACTGTTACATTACATAAACTTTTTAAAAAAGATTTACTTATAGAGAGAGGGAAAGGTAGGGAGAAAGAGAGAGAGAAGCATCGATGTGCGAGAGAAACATTGATCAGTTGCCTCTCACAGGCCCCCAACCAGGGACCTGGCCTGCAAACCAGGTATGTGTCCTGACTGGGAATCAAACCAGCGACGTTTTGCTTCGCAGAATGACACACAATCTACTGAGCCACACCAGCCAGGGCTGCATACTGATACTTTAAATGGGGCACTTGAAATAATTGTGCCAGAAGATCAATAAGGATTTCCACCCTCTTAATTGGGAAAGCTATCAGGATAATAAAAATTGGCTAATGGGCATTGAATTATGAACTTAGATACAATTAGGATGGCAATCTACCTTATCTCTTTATTATGAAATATTTCAAGCATACAGAAAAGTAGAGAACATAGTAAATACATGTGTACCACCACTCAGTCACATCTTAAGATTTTGCTATATTTGCTTTAGTTATTGTTCAAGAACCCTGACTTTTCTGGCTCCAGTGAAGTTCCTTTCCCCGACCCCAGCATCTCTCTTCCAGAGGGAACCACCACCCTGAACGTGGTTTCTACCATCCCGATGCAGGATTTGTGCTGCTAGTCCCTGCATTTGTCCATATACATGATGTCTCATATTGTTTTGCATGTTAAATTTTAATGTAAAGTTTATGAACATTCAAAATCTATTAAAAAAATACTCCCTTAAAGCTTGAGGGGGGAAAAAATAAAAATAACGACAGGCATTGTTTTAAGATTATGGATGACTTTACTCTTCTTTCTGATCTTACTTTATATTCCTATTATTCCGTGAGCAGTAATATTTTTTTTTCAAACAATTTGATAAAAAAAGTAAATAGAAGTACTTGTTTTAAAAAGGGCTCCTCCGTTGGCTGCTGATGTAGTGTGAACTTGCGAGTATTTATTGCAATTTGAATTACATTTACAATTAATTGGATCAAAAACAGACCTATTGTTTCCTCCTATAAGCTTTGTAGTAAAGCAAAAGACATGGTGGTAAATTAATTAAAAGCTGAAGGTTTGGCACTGGCTTCGGCAGTGCACATCCTGAAATTGGACCATACAGAGAAGACAAACAGCACCCCTGCATGAGGATGACCTGAAGCTTGTGGTGTGCATTTTTGTCCTTAAAAAAAGCTGAAGGTTTAAATTGAGTTTGGGAAAAAGATGAAATTAAACTAAGAAAATGAAAAAAATGGCATAGAGGGTCCACTTAGGGAAAAGTCCTATTACTAATAATTGCGGTAATATATTTTGGTTAACGCTTTCAGAAGACTGCCTCATTTATCAAGTCTTTGGGACAAACAAGTTAACTGTATCTTTTAGTATCAGTACATTCTATTGGACAAACCATGAAAACCCCTGGGAAGGTGAACAGAACCAGATCTTTTGTTGCATCAATTCCTTATGTATTAGTGACAGGGGTATTTTTCTTCTTCCAATATTAAATGCTTGAAAACAGTGAAAGTGCAAAAAGGAGTTAAATTTATTAACCTTCATTTTTAAGGAATAAAGTCCATTTCCATCAGGGGACTCATTTCGGGGGTTCTAAGCTCACATGCTATCAAAGAACTGGTCACAAATCACCCCACAAGAAACCCCACGCTCATTAACAGTCACCTCCCATTCCCCTGCCCGCCCCGCTCTGGCAACCATTCATCTACTTTCTGTCTCTATGGATTTCTCTCTTCCAGACATTTCATATAAATGAAATCATACACTGTAGCTTTTTGTGTCTGGCTTTTTTCAGTTTGCATAGTTTTCAAGGTTCACCCATGTTGTAGCATGTACCAGTACCTTATTCATTTTTATAGCTAAGTAATATTCCAATGTATGGATATACCACCTTGTGTTTATCCATTTATCAATTAAGACATTTGGGTTGTTGCCTATTTCTGGCTATTATGAATAATGTTGCTGTGAATCTCATGTTGACCTCTGAATTGAAGGTCAAAATTTTAAATTGGCTTTGTAAATAGTTAATGTTAACACGGTTCAATATTATACATCCTAACAATTAATATGGTTCAAATATATATATCCTCACATGCTCAATTATCATGGCCTTCTACATCAAGGCAAAAATCGTGACTATAGAGGAAAAACACAACTTTAATAAAGACAACACAGACATTGAAATTGGTAAAGATTTGCTTACCTTGGTTCAGTCATTAATTCAAATGGAGACAGCAGCCACGAAATCAAGAGAAGACTGAGACTTGGAAGGGCAGCAATGGAAGCATCGGGGAAGATCACCAAGAGCAAAGATGTGTCATTAGAGACCAAAGCTAAGGTCATTCACAGCCTCATATTCCCAATTAATATGTACGGATACTAAACTTGGACTGTAAAGGCTCAATAGGACAAAAAATGGTTCATTTGAAATAATGTGTTGGAGGGCTGGATACCTCAGACCACCAGAAACACAAGTGGGCCCTAGAGCAAATCAGGCCTGAAACACTACTGGTGGCAAAAGTGACAAATCTGAAGCTGTCCTACTTCAGGCACATTATGAGAAGGCAGGGTTCTTTGGAAAAGACGGTAATGCAGAAAAACCAGAAGGCAGCAGGAAGAGAGAAAGACCAAATTTGAGATAGCTTGACTCTATCAAAGAAGCCTCAGTCACGAGTCTACAGAGGCTGAGCAGGCAGGGTTGTTGAGGACAGGACAGTGTGGACGTCACTCATTCATAGGGTGGCCAGGAGTCAGAGCCAACTCAACACAAGCAAACACTGTTAACAGCTTCCAGCACAGGCAAACATCTTAGCTTTTTTTAGAAAAAGAAAGGTAACACACACAGACCTCTGCACCTTGCCTTTTCACATATCCTGGATGTTTCCATGTTTGTAGATGGTGTCCTCATTTTTTCTAAAGCTACATATTTTTTATTTGTGGCTGTACCAGTTTATTTAACCAGTCTCCCTGTGATGGATATTTTGGTGATGATTGAAATGATTTGGTATTTACTAAATGGATGCAGAAAGTGTGGTGTGCGCATACAGTGGGGTGTTATTCAGCCTTAAAAAAGAAAGACATCCTATCATTTGCAGCAACACGGATGGACCTGGAATCCATGATGCCAAGCTGTTCAGTGAGTGTACAGTTAGAGTCATACAGAATGAATAAATCCTAGAGATCAGCTGGACAACTTAGTGCCTATAGTCAACAATATGGTACTGAACACTTAAGAAATTAAGAGGGTACATTCGTGTTAAACGTTCTTTCCACAGACACACGCACAGAGCAAAGGGACACAAGGAAACTTTCGGAGGCGATGGCTGTATTTATTACCTTGACTGCGGTGATAGTATGGCAGGTGTATGTGTATGTCCAAGCTTATCGAAGTGCATACATTACATATGTGCACTTTTCTATATATCAATTCTATCTCATTAAATCTGTAAAAAATAATTTTTGTTCTTCTATTTACTATTAGGTAGACACTACGAGGTAAATACTAGCTACTCTAATGTCAGTGTTGTTAGTTCTTTTGCTATGACATCTTTCATTTAGTGGTTTTTCCTAAATAGTTGCCATTCGTCATTCCCAAGGGACATAAAACACCCATAAACCAAAGAACTGAGCTTTGGGCACTGCGAAAGAAACACACTAACAATTTCTAAGATATTACAGAAGCCAAGATGCGTTATTTCTTTAACTGATTAGTATGGGGAATAAAAGATTAAGTTGTTTGCTATTGAGTTGAGAGAATAATGGTAGATATACTTGACTCAATGGTATATAGTTTTCTTCACCACTAACCCAGGTAGAGAAAAACAACCATAGAATGAAACCAGGAGGTCATGGTTAGTCACATGAGACCCCGTTGCTAATGGCTGCTGACCATGCCAGGTTATTTTCTGGATGCTGAAATGGGACAATGTAGTCTTTTGTAATACAGTGATTGAGGTGCTGCTCATCATTCCAGAAACTACTTCCTCAGCTGCTGGCTAATTCTTCAGAATGTGCCTGATCACGTCTTAACAGCCGAGTTTCTCATTTCCTAAACATCTTTCTTACTTTAACTTGGATCTAAGTTATAGTCTGTAAATGAGAAATGCAAGTAAGAATGAGGGGTCAATTTATTTTAAGTACATTTATCATGAAATATCAAGGTGTACAATTTCAAACATTTATAAATATTGCAATTTGTAGAAAATTATTGTGATCTTAAAATTATTTGAACAGTGATTTTCACAATTATTTACAATTAACTTAACCTACCTTTGTAAAAACATAATTATGTTTCAAAGTACCTTGCCACAAAGTAGTAATTTCACAGTACCTTTCTATAATATTCATGTCCCTAAAGTGGCAGCACATCTATAAAACCCAGCAGATTCAACAATTTAGAAAACAGCACAATGAGAACTGCAAATCCAAGTTAGCATTAAGAACAAAACTTTTTATATCAATATATAAATATTTTCCATTTTCAGCACTGATTGAAGAAAATAATTAGGAGGCAGTATATTCTTTTTGTAGTAAACAGTAATTAATTTTAAGATATTTGAAAATCAACACTGAGAAGCTAGATTAGGCACACATAATATTAAATATTTTGAGAAGTTCTTGGTTTCATTGGAAGCCATTTCTAATAATAAACGTTTTTTAGTTGTAATGACAGTAAGCAGAGGTAATTCTCTGTCATCCCAAATAGAAATAATAATTGCTTATCAACAATTAATAACACTTTTGGATGGAAAGTGATTTTGGCTTTATTCCTAAAGTGTTTTTTTAACTTAACTTTTTAATCGTTTTTGACATCCCCTCAAAAGGATCCCAAATTGTTAAAAATTATGTCAAAGGAAAATAACTTTATGTGGACTAGTACTTGTGTTTAAAAACAGCATTTACTGTAGTATTCCACAGTTTTTTTTCTTTAGCATATATCCCGCTAAAAAAATTAAATAAAAATCTAAGGTATAAGAAATATAGTTGAAGTCACAATAAAGTATATTTTCTTTTATTGACATAGAACACATACTTTGAATTTTAAATGTTGGCTCTTTAAGAAAAAGTTTCTTCTGGTAAATAATATGTATAACCGTTGCCCCAAAACATATACAGCTGTCTTCCCCAAAATATTTATGCACGTAGTGGTCCATTTAAGACCAGCCCCATTATAATCTACTGAAGACAATGTGCTCTTAATTTATAAATGGGCTACCTTCAGTATATAAAATATATAAGCATGTATGTAATACATACAAAGTAAGAAATATAAAAAGAAAAAAGTGTTCTTCCCTATTAAGATCTGGACAGAAATTCAGTGTAATTAATGAGGCCATGTAAAATGTACTCTTAATTTATAAATGGGCTACCCTCAGTATATAAAATATATCGGCATGTATGTCATACAGATCAAGTAAAAAATGTAAAAAGGAGAGATGGGAAAAAAAAAAAAGGAAGACGTGTCCTACCCTGTAAGGTCCAGATAACAATTCAGTGTAATTAGTGCGACCATGTAAAATGTCTCAAGAGTTTCCGTTTTGGCAAATACTTTTCAGAAAAATATCTAAGCTGTGAGAGTACTAAACTTCCATTTTAAGAATTTAGTAGAGGATTCCATTTCAACGTTCAGTGAGGACGCTGTGGTCTCCCTCATATGCAGAAAAGGGGACCGTCGGGAGTCTGCTAAAAGGAAACACAAAGTCACTCATTTTTAGCCCCTTGATCAAGTGTGTGTAGTGCAGAAAATCAAATCCTGGCCCATCAGCATGTGACTATGCCTGCGGAAAGCTGCCAATGGACAGGGCCTGGATTCTTCCTAGATCTTAGAGGAAGTGGGCAGGAAGTGATGGCAAAGGAGGGGTCAGCTCCAAAGGTGGCTGGTCCAATCTTAACGGCTGATGTTAAAAAACACACCAAATGTTTCTATAGCATTCATTCGGCTGCATTTTCTTTATTTCAAGCCACAGGTCTACTTCGAGGGTCATGCAGCAAGTGGCTTATAAATAAAATCAGAGTCTATGAATAGTGTCATCATATTAAGAGACAGAATCGCTGGAGTCTCTTGTTAGGTAAAGAGCTCCCATTGTTGGAATCCAGGAGTTGGTATTATTTATGGGATACCTAAAATGGGGGACAAAAGTCATATGTTAATAACAACATACATGCAATTCAGGAGCGAAAGCAATGAAGATCACTTAATCATTTTTGGAATTAGAAATTCCATATGGGTTTCTAAATATTGCTTCATGGTTAAAAATGCAACAAATATAACGGCCAATTCCAAAATTAGCAAATATTAACACTACTGCTAATTGTTTAACCAAGGCAAACAAATCCCACTGTTGAAATCTCAGCATATGTTACCAAGAGAGACCCTGAAGATGGTAACCATATCCATTTTGGAAGCCTAGGAATTTGTAAACTTAATGTATCCTTTGGCTTAGAGATATGCTACATGTCTCTATTTTCATAGAGACCAGGCCCTTTGATCCTGTCATGGTACCAAGGGGGAAACAGAGAGGGGAAAAATCAATGAAAACATTTAGCTGCTATAGTCTTTCCTTTTCCACACAACCATTATGCAGCCAAAAATAACCTCAGCACACTGAACAAATAATAGAACTTGCCCCCAAACAGCATATAAATTTCTTTACAAACTTAAATTAGTTTTTCTGGGGAATATTGGGACTCTTCCACCAAGAAAATAGACATCTGCTAATTTGCTATGGATTTATACACATAGAAGCCCTTTGCAAGGTGTAAAGCAATAATACCAACATAAGGTATTGCTACTGCGGAAGCAGATTTGAACAAATTTATCTTAAATATGAAGAGTACAGAAAAAGGCAATCTTAGTTTTAATTTCTCATGCAAGTAGCCCATATTTTATCATTAATAAAAACATAATCTGCCTGGGTTGGTGTGGCTCAGTGGATTGGGTGCTGGCCTGTGAATCAAACGTCGCAGGTTTGATTCCCAGTCAGGGCGCATGCCTGGGTTGTGGGCCAGGTCCCCAGTTGGGGGCGTGTGAGAGGCAACCCATCAATGTTTCTCACATGGATGTTTTTCTCCCCCTCTCTAAAAATAAATAAAATCTTTTAAAAAATCCAATATTGTACTGATGTAAATAATTTTCATTCCATATTTTATATAGCACTAAATTGATGATAGCAAGCTGAATTAAGGCTTGTTAGATTTCCACATCAGATGTTTCCCCCATATCAATAAAATTTAAATTTTACATTTTAAACCCAGGTTATCATCTAATTAATTAAGAAAAATAATTTAACTCTTTCCCTAATCATGAAGACTTTTTAAAATGATTCACTTTATTGGCAACATACGGAACAAGTTATTTCTATTTAAGCCATTAATTTAAAAGAAAAATCAAGCTATCATAAGAGCTTCCAAAATGATGAATATACTTAAATTAATATAGGTTATGCAATGTATTTCATCACATGCTGAGCGATTTTACTTTCATAAGAATATTCAGTACAAGTTAAGGTGTAAAAATAATAGTTCACTCTTAATTCAACCCCAAATTATTTAAGCAATAATTTAAAACACTTCAGTTCACAAAATGTATTCTTTTAACTAAAGCAAAAGTGACTATAACATTTCCCCAGTTTTAGAGTTTTGCAGAACTCTACTAACATATCCTGGCCAAAACTCTCTACCAGAATTAAAATCTTAAGCCATGCATAGCAAATTTTCATAGTATGAAAAACATCTTACATACATTCAGAAGCCAATTTAATGAATGCCCAAAATTATACTTTAACTTTCATCTGTCGCTCTGAAAGTCCTGTCATTTAGCATTGCACAGTATTACTTTCACTTTCACTCATTGCTATAGTTGACAGCAGAATGTAGCCCCTCCAAGAAACTGTCATCTACTAAAAATAGAAGAGGTTAAACAGAGCCACAGTCCTTAATTCTGGCTGCCGCAAAAGATTAGTCTAATTAGACCTTTAATGGATTTTCCAGGTTCCTAAGCACAGGAAGAATGAAAATCACTTGAAAACTTTCTGCTGAGTTACATACAAATACATTAACGCTAACTAATAAAATTGTCTAATTTAAAGAGTAACTGACCTGAGAGGTACCTTGCTCCGATTAACATTACCATGCTACTGATTATAAAAAAGCCCAAGGGTAGACTACAGAAGATACTAGGGTCACCTGTGGCCATCCAAGTAGAAGGAATTCCAGTCAAGCAAACCAAAAGAGAGACACATAATTACAATAATTGTGTTAAGAATCACATGATAGCAAAACAAATTAAGTTATAAAAATAGTATATTCATAAAAGCTAGCAAAGAGTTATTACTTCAAATCAAAAAAAATATAATCAATGTTGAAGGTTTATGACAATTAACAAACAATACAGATAGCATGCCACAAGTAGCCAAGAACATAATGCATATAGACCATAAGCCTTCCAGTGGCAAAGCCAAAGAAAGCCAATGGAGAACTTTTTTGGGAGGCTGTTTGATTTTAGCTTTCTTGATTCTTCCCCGAAAGATACCATACAACCAATCCAATGACCCCCAAATTCAAATTTACAGATCCTTTGGCTATCAGAAAAGTTATAGTAGCTTACTGAAAATAAACTTCAAAACCCATTGGTTTTGTTTTCTTTTTAAAATAGAATTCAGTATATAAAGAGATGTACTCAACTATTAAGATCACTCATATTTAAACACTAAATTGTGTTACTCTACATTCTACAATATTGCCTGAGAACATGGTTGTTTTAATGTTTTTTTTTTTTAAATTGGGTCCCAGAATAAAAGATTGAAAGAAAAAAGATATTAGGCTAATTTAGGAGGAAAAAAAGAACAAAGTTTCAAGTAGGAACACCCAGAGCTAAAAATACAGATCATGGTGATCTGTGGTAGTGGACGGTTCCAGAAGCCTCTCTTAAAAGCCAGATACATTAAAAGTGGTTCTAGGGGATGGAGGTGGGAGAAATACAGTGGTTCTATATCCACTTTGGGGTTGGAGGACAGGTTATACTTCATTTATAAACTCTTCTTAAGTAAATGCTCCTGTATATTGGTCATTGTTCTATTCATTATGTTCCAAACCTTGCATTTAGCAAATAATTAAGATATTATGTTATATTAAGGCTATTTAAATAGCACAGACATATTAAAGGAAGCTTATGGCTGTTTATAACTAAATGGTTTAGTTAAGCTGAATACTTTCCTACCTAAACGATTAAAAACACTCCTGTGGTTTCTTCCAGGAGCATTTCCTAATCTATTATGACACTTCTAATTTTCTATGTTTGCTACATTTCTTCCTCTCTGATTCCAATGAATTCCTGTAACATACAATCGCTAAGAACTTGGAATCAGTTTAGGAAATAGTGAAATATATTCTGAAATTAATACAGCTTTTGGTTGGTTTAGGTCATGAAGACAGCTCCCCAAAAAGGTCAAGTGAAACATTGCGAGGAAAAAAAAAACAACAAAGACTGTAGTTGATTTTTTTTTCATTAAAAAGAAACTAGAAAAAAAAAAGAAATAAACTAGAAATAATTTTACTTTTAGAAAACTCAGCTATAAATTGAAGCACCACGAATAAACTAAGAAGGAAAGATGTGGCAGGATGTATGCATATCAACCTGGTAATTTACGTTTTATGTTTAGAACTTTAAAATGTTTTCAAAATGTTAGAAACTGTGCATATATGATAATGCTCTTCTTCAGAGCAGCCTTGCTAAAGTATAAGTGGTCAGATACTTAGCTAAGCTATTTAACATACTAAGACAAAGTGGCAATAATAATAAAAACATAGTTACCACTTTGGGAAGACTCAGTTGTGACCCAACCCATTGACTTCATCACAGCTTTCTTCCAGGTAGAATAGCGAATTTCACTTTCTAGAAATAGAAGACAGGGAACACACACACATGAAAAGCAGTTTACTGAGATGTTCTAGGCACCATACTTAGGTTCACTCAGCATTCCTGACAAATTTGTTACACATGTTAAACTGGCCGTAGGGCTTTACAAGGACTTAGACTTGGGAGAGTATGGTTGCTAGTGCTGACCAGTGCCTGGGAGGATGGGAGACAGCCTGCCTGCTAAGAGCGGGCCATTGGCAAGCAGGTGGTGATGAATCAGGAAGGGGCATCTCATTTAATCTGATTTCTTTTGGGGGGCTTGTGTTTGGGATACAGGGAAGGGTATGCTATAATGTGGAAAGACTAGAAGGACAGTTATTTTGGGTCCAGCCAAAAGATTGAACAAGTCTTGATTCCTCACAATATTCAAATTGCATCCCTGTGAGACAAGCTTTCTTCTTTTTAAAAATGTTATTTTTATTGATTGATTGATTTGAGAGAGACAGGAAGGGAGAGAGAGAAAAACATCGATTTGTTGTTCCACTCATTTACGCATTCATTGGCTGGTTATTGTGTGTGCCCTGGCAGAGGATCAGACCCGCCACCTCAGTGTTCGGGACAATGCTCTAACTGAGCTACCTGGCCAGGGCTGATACAGGCTTTCTTCAAGGTAAAAATCCACAATCAGAGGACTAAACAAAAATAGGCACTGGTTGCCCTTGCTGGTGTGGCTCGATCGATTGCAGTGTTGTCCCATGCACCGAAAGGTTGGGGGTTCGATTCCTGGTCAGGGCACATACCAAGGTTATGGGTCCAATCCCCAGTCAGGGTATGTACGGGAGGCAACTGTTATCTCTCTCTAATATCAATAAATCTTTATTAAAAATTTTTTTAAAAAGGGCACTGGTGCATCCATACACACACTGCACTCCCAATGATAGGCAACATGCACGAGGCTACCCTTCTTCGAAGTTTCCCAGCCTTTCCACAGTACCTCGAGGCTGCAACTCCAGTGGCAGACTGCTCAAATATCATTCCCTTCAGAAAGCTTTCCACTTCCCCACTTCTGATCCTTCATCCAACTTCCCACAGCTCCTCACCCATATCTCAGGGTATTAGCTACTACAATGAGTTTTCATCGTTTTGTCTACTTCTCCCAATATACTCGAGTCTCCTTGAAGGGCAAGGACTTGGTCTTTATTCATGTCTATATTCCCATGTAAGAACAGTTTCTGGCCTGTAGTTGGCTCTGAACAAATGTTTTAAAAAATATTTTTATTTATTGATTTAGAGAGAGAGAAGCTTCAATTTATTGTTCCACTTATTTATACATTCATTGGTTGATTCTTGTATGTGCCTTGACAGGGGATCAAATCTGCAGCCTTGGCGTATCGGGACAGCTCTCTCATCAACTGAACAACCCGGCCAGGGCTCTAAACAAATGTTTGCTCTAGGAATGAACTATCTACATCTAGGAGCCCGTGCATGCACAGGTGTGCATGTGTATGTTGTGGGGAGAGGGGAGGGGCTGGTGAAGGGAAGAACGAGTGATATGACTGATCAGCTCTGGGCTAAGGCTTTAAAAACCGCAAAGATGGCTCTCTCAGAAAACGGCAATCCTCAGCTCTTTGCACAAAACTTCCTTGATTTAAGAGTGCGAGTAGCATCTCAAGACCATATACTTGCTAAACATTATTTGCTTATGAAAAAGTTGATTTTTTTCAGAAGTAGAAAAAATTTCAAACTTTATATTTTATCCAATATTGCAAAAGTGAAAAATTATTTACAGACAGAATACCAAGTTTTGAAACACATTTCTATATCAAGGTCCATGGCAGACAGTCTGACTAGAAAAATCATTAATGTTACAATCCATTTTCTTATGTATGGAAAAGAATGAATTAAATTAAGAAGTGCCAGCACAGTCTTCCAGAAAACTAAAAATGCATCTGAAGCTTATTTCCCAATAGCTCAAAATTTACTTAGATACTATTGTATGCATAGGTTTTTAGAAAGTTAAAAAACCAAATTCAATATAGACAAAACCTTATTTTTGTACTCATACGTGTTTCAATTTAAGAAACGCATCATTATATTATTTTAATAAAGGTGTCAGTCAGAGCTTGGGCCTTAGCTTAGTTTGTTAGGAAATGAATAAGGTATTTAATGCTCGTTTATTTAAACTGTTGCTGCCTTTGTCTGGCTAACCCTGCTGTGCTTAAAAGTTACCAGAATATCACTTAGCCAGCTAGTCCTGTCCTAAAACCCGGCCATTGGCACCAAAGGTGATCCCGTGTAGACATTAGGGATGAGTGGCTAATATACTGCCTTTCTCCCTTTTACAAAAGGCTATTTGAACAAGCTACAACTGATAGTGTGGCAGTGTTACTGTCCTACACAAAAGGACTGCAAACATGTGATTCTAGGTTTTTTATACGGACTCATTTCTTTCATCCACACTCATTTAGTGTAGTCCAACATGCTTAGCAGCCAAACCTGAAACAGTAGCATTTGCTATTGTGCTTAGTTGCTTAACGTATTGAATAAACAGGAAGGGAAGCTCTCTCTCACTGGGGTTGTGTTTGCAGTATAGTATGCAAGGTTTCATTCTTTAAATGTACCCTCAGCATTGATCTGGGGTTCAAACCGCTCCATTGTGACAGCCGACAGATCCTCGGGCTCCAGACTCCAAACGCCCACTCCTTCTGCGGCCCCTGCGGCCATGGCGGCTCCCAGGGCGGTTGTTTCCGGCATGGAGGGCTTCACTGAGAGGAGACAGCTACATCAACAACTTTGTATTTATATAAACAATTTTTTTAAAATATGCCTCAAAAACCAGTTCTCCCAAGAGAGACATTAGTCTCAGAACTGAAAGGAATGAAGGTTGACTAACCTACGGGGATATACAGAATGTCTGCTTGTAGCTGCATAAGAATTTTGTTGTTGGTCATTCCTCCGTCTACCTGCAGGTGACTGAGTGGAATTCCACAGTCGCGGTTCATGGCATCCAGAATCTTCAATAAAGTAATGTAATGAACATAAGTAAACTACTTCATAGTAACAGCCCTGAAAATGGCGATCTTCTACTCAAAAATGCTCAAGAGCTTCCCAGAGCCTACAGAATAAAATTGAGGCTTCTTATTCTGGTCTTCTAAGCCCCCCCCTTGGTCTGATCACCACTCACCTTTTCTCTCCCTGCACTTCTCTCCTCTCGCTTATATCCAGCCAAACAACTATTTTATACTCAGGTTTCCTGCCTGAGTGCTTGTTAGCGCTATTCCCTTTCCCTAATATGCCCCACTCAGCATCCCCCCGAACCATAAAATGCCCAGTGCCTAGTGGATGACAGGAACTGAGAAGGTAATGCCAGCAAAAACAGAATGAAAACTTACATTTCTTAGATATGTGTTTAGGCACGTTTAATTTTTGATTAAGTATTTAATTTATTTAGTGTTTAATAAATTTTGGACAGTCATATGTAACTTGTTTAAGAATGAGCGAAGCAGATTAAGTATAAAAAAACAAGTCCATATTTATTACCTCTCGGGTTTGGAAGCAAACCGCTTCTAATGCAGCAAAAGCAATATGGCATTTATTGGTGAACTGAGTGAGCCCACAGATGATCCTAAAAATACAAGGATTTTTAAGGTTAGAGTGGGAAGGGTGATAAGAAACAAGTCATCAATCCGAAATGTCCTGAATATAGAAAGGTTGAATTTGGTAGACAGAAGTGTGGAGAGCGAAAAAAATAGACATTACAAAAACCAAACAAAAGTGGACGTAAACATGAAGCGTTTACAAAGTCTTTGTAGTCCACAATCCTGCATCTGCATATGAAAAAGTTCATGATCCATCTGAATAGATGGCAAAAGTATAAAACCAAATCAGCATCGATCTAGAATGATGGCATTTGATACATAACTTGCAGATGCCTTGAAGATAAAATAACACTAACACCAAAACGGACACAGTGGGTGCTTATTGTCACATCATTTATAACTTCCTGGAGATTAAACGTTATGAAATTATACTGTCCAAATAGAAAAGGTTTCCTCAATACTTTAAAATCATCTGAAAAGAGATAGGAAACTACTGACTGATAAGTTATTAGACCCACCAAGCATACCTTATTTTTAATTCTTACCCTCTGGCACTGGGCTCCCAGTAAGGTGCATATAACCCTGAAAATGCTGGGACGAAATAGCAGCCATAGGAAGTACCTACTTCTTTAGCAAGTTTTTCTAACATTAAAAAGAAAAAAAGAAATTAAAGTCACTCTAATATATTCTACTCACTTTAGTCAGTAAACATATCTCTTTAAAAAAAATTAGGACAGGGCTTTTGGTTTCCTATTCATTAATACAACAAAACGCTCCTACTTAACAACAGTATGCTAGGAGCAAAATAAAATAATAACTGCCCCACATTGAATACCACCACGAAAATGCAACCCAGCCCCCACAAAATAAAGGAACTGGATTTGTTTCATTAAACTATATGAGATCATTTCCACTATTTTTAAGGTTGCTGACTAAAAGATGAAGAATTGGCCTCCAGCGCATCCCAGAAAATGTGTTTCTGATGATCTCACCTTCAGATAAAATTAAACAAGTTAGGTGAAAGAGTGGGTAGGTGAGTTCAAAATAATTATCCATAAACTGAAAATATCCATATTAATACTTAAATTATAGGTACTGGCATTTTCATGCTCCCTCTAATCTAAGAGTTAAAGCTCTTTCTCCTCAGATAAATTTAACTAGACTACTTCGCCTGAAGGTTCTGGCAATCTTCGGTGTTCAATTTTACTCTTGGGTAATTTTTATGCCCTACCTTGCCAGTTTATTAATAACCACCACTAAATATGTCAACTCATTTTATAAATCTTCACAAAATAGTCTTTTATGTATAAATCAAACTCATATAGGGATCCATAGAATTTAATGCTGCACACGGGGTAAGAACACAAGTACTAACAGGCTGCAAAGGTAAAACATCAAAAAATTTCATTATTTAGATCTTTTAACCATTTGTTAGAACATACTCACCAATTTCATCTGAGCTCTTTATAATTCCAAGATTGTCTCTTAGCCAGCGAATAACAGCACCAGCTATAGCTACAGAACCCTATGGGAAAAAGAGGAATCCAAGAGAAGTATGTTATCATTATAAAAAATTTTATTGGGCATATGCTTTGTGCATGACACTGCCAGATGGATAAAATCCAAAAATGTCAGCTTTGGGACTTCCACAAATATAATAGCCTAGGTCTTCTGACACAAACATAGTTTTACCTAGGTCATTATAGAAGTTTTTCATGAGGCAGGGAAAAGAGAACCTTCCAGCACACCCTTGGACCTGTCCCCCCATAGGTGGACATCAATGTACTGAGCAGTTTGCTTCTTGTACAATTGTTCGACCTGTTGCTAAGCTACTGATATATATTATCACCTAGAATACATTCCTATCTTATCCACAAAGGTATAGGGGGAGGCCACATTACAAGTTCTTTTTCCTATGTCTAACGATATGTTAAATCAGGGAGCAACAACAGAAAAGTTAGCAAAGAGGATAACTATGAAGTAATTATTCTTTACAAGAAAATCAGCAAGGGATGGGGATGGCAGCTGTGGCAATGAGGGGAAAAAAAAGCATATGATCTGAAGTCAGATGAACCAGCTTTGAGCCTGAATTCTGGTTCTTAATTGCTGTGATCTTAGACAAATTGGGTAGGCTTTCTGAACTTCCATTTCTTCACTTATAAATTGGTTGTGTCCATAGCAACACCTACCTAAACAAACTACTATAAGGCCCAATATAAGAATATATGGGAAGGTTCTTTCTGAATATAAATATTAGATAATTTATGTTAATTTTTTAAGTGTTTAAAAATAAATAAAATATAGTGCATCCACACAATGGAATACTATTTGGTCATGAAAAGGAATGGAGTTCTGCCACAACATGGATGGACTCTGAAAACATATGAGGTGAAAGAAGCCAGTCATAAAAGACCATATACTGTATGATTCCATTCATATGAAACATCTAGAACAAGCAAATCCCTAGAGGCAGAGCGTGAATTAGTTTGCCTAGTGTTTTTAGGGGATGAAAATGTGCTAAATTTAGATTGTGGTGATGTTTGCATGACTCTAAATATACTAAAACCTTTGAACTGTACACTTAAAAAAAAGATTTATTTCTAGAGAGGGGGAAGGGAGGGGAAAAGAGAGGGAGAGAAACATCAATGTGTGGTTGCCTCTCATGCACCCCCAACTGGGGACCTGGCCTGCAACTCAGGTATGTGCATTGACTGGGAATCAAACCGGTGACCCTTTGGTTTCCAGACTGGCACTCAATCCACTGAGCCACATCAGCCAGGGCTACTTCCTAACTTTGATATCTTATATATTTAGATACTTTGGTGGGACTATGAAAAAGAACTAAGTACATTTTTGCTTAGACTTATGAATATTACTCTCAGATTTCTTTTGGAAGCAAGCAATTCAGAAACAGTAGTTCCCAAAGAGTAGTAAATGTGTAAGATTTTCTAGACCAGTGCTGCCAAGTAGAAAAACAGGCGTGGGCAAAAGGAGGTTTACAGTTGTGAGTACATGAAACAGAGTTTATTCTTTCTTTAAAATTAATTGATTTTTAGAGAGAGAGAGAAGCAGCATCGATCTCATGTTCCACATATTTATGCATTCATTGGTTGATTCTTGTATGTGTCCTGACTAGGGATTGAACTTACCACCTTTGTGTACTGGGATGACACTCTAAATCAACTGAGCTACCCAGCCAGAGCCCAGAGTTTATTCTTGTAGTATTATTTATTATTGCATTGTTAATTATTAATAACTTACTTTTGCCTACCCTTGTATAATGTGAGCCAAATATGTAATTTAACTTTTCTAGTTAACATATTAAAAAGCTAAAAACAGGTTAAATAAATTGTAATATATTTTGTTTAACCCAATATATTAAATATATTATCATTACAGCATGTAATGACCGTAAAAATTGTTGATATTTTATGTTCTTGTACTAAGTCTTTTAAATCGAGTATATATTTTACACTCATAGCACATCTCAGTTCAGACTCACCACATTTCAAGTGCTCAATAGCCACATGTGGCTAGAGGCTACCATATTGGACAGCACAGTTCTAGATCTAATTGGAAAAAACCCCCAGATTTCCATTCTCCTTATATGCTCAAAAAAGACAATGATCCGAAATGATATACAACCAAGAAACGAGCATAGTTTCAATAGTTTTAGGTAAGTAAACTATAAATTTTAAAAAGTTTTTGTGCCAGAACTCTAGTAGAGTGATTTTGTGGCTATCAGCTAAGTGAAATCTTATACTTTGGGAACCAAATACTGAGGTACTGCATTTCCGTTGAAAAGGGAAAGATATTATATGCTTAGACAATTTTTTTTTGAGAGGAGGCAATATGATTTTATTAAAAGAAAAATTGAGGTCTCAATTAAAGGTAACTGGTTGAAAACCAGAAGGCATTATTTAGATCAAAACAAAAGAAAAAAGCCCTGGCCGGTGTGGCTCAGTGGATTGAGTGCTGGCCTGCAAATCACAGGGTCACTGGTTCGATTCCCAGTCAGGGCATGTGCCTGGTTTGTGGGCAGGTCCCCAATTGGGATGCGCAAGAGGCAACCACACATTGATGTTTTTCTCCTTCTCTTTCTCCCTCGCTTCCCCTCTTTCTAAAAATAAATAAGTAAGTAAATAAATAAATAAAACAGAAAAAAACCCACAAAGCTGCACTCAAGACTCCAGAAAAAAATTATTTTAAATTTGGTCATCAGGAGTGTACAGGACTGTTTTGTTGTGAATGAAGAAATAAATTCAATATAAGAAAATCAAAGGTAGATTAAAAAACATTTACCTGAAAGAAATACATAATTGTGGTGTCAGGGTATAATACATGGAATTTACTTAGTTCTTTAAAAAATTAATAAAAATGAGGAAACCTCCAAATTCACACAAAAATATGTGGTCTTTTGTATTCAGAGGCAAGAGATAAGGTAAAAGATGGTAAGATGCTTTGAAGATGGGCAGGAAGAAGTGCACTGGAACAGAAGCCTGAAATGATAGACGGTGACTGTCCACTTGCTATCAAATAAGCTACTATCTATTATATCCTAAATATAAAGACTCAATACCTCAGTGTGTCATCTACAAATATAAATCAACCCTTGTTCTAAGTCATGAAAGGCACAGACAACACAGAAGCCTAATAGTTGTACTCTAAGAAAGACAAAACAGAAATGACAGGGTATAAAGAATAAATTAAATGATAACAGGACAAGAGGAATAAGCTATTTAAAAACTAGACACATAGCCTGAAAAATAAAAGGTTAAGAAACAGGCTATGGGAAGACTGGATTAAAAATAATCAAGTAGCCCTGGCTGGTGTGGCTCCATGGATTGAGTGCTGGCCTGCAAACCAAGGGGCTGCCGGTTCAATTCCCAGTTGGGGCGGGTCCTTGGTTGGGGACGTAAAAGAGGCAAGCACGCATCAATGTTTCTCTTCCTCCCTCCCTACACCTCTCTCTAAAAATAAATTTTTTAAAAAAAAGACTGACCTTAAATTGCTTAAAATTATCCATTAAGCATAGTAAACAGTTTTGGGTATGCCACAGTAGTATCTATACATATATAATTTAGTCTGTACTTCATTTGTATAATATTACAAATGCAAAATCTAACTCTATAGCATTTTTAATCACATAAAAAGAGCACAGAGTTGGATTGGGGGAGCATTATGTTTGAAATGTAGTCTATATCACTAATGGTTCAGCAACAAGTTAGGGCATTAAAATGAAAAGCATTTATTGCTCAGAAAGTATGCTTTCCAAGAAAGTACATCACAGAAGTCCATAAACAATGTATACTGGCTGTGGCAGACAGATTCTTAACTAAGGTGGTCCCCAGGATCCCTGCTTCCTGGTGGTCATGCCCTTGCATGATCCCCTCCCTTTGAATACAGTGGGACCTATGACTTGCTTCTAACCAATAGCACATGTCAAAGGTGACGAGATGTGTGCGATTATGTTGCATCAGGATATCACATTAGCAGTCTTCAGGTGGAACGGGACTGCAGGTGGCCCCTAGGAACAGAGGGCAGCCTATGACTGACAGCTAGCAAGGAACTGAACTCAGTCCTACAACCACAAGGGACTGAATTCTGCCAATAACCTGAGTGAGCCTGGAACAGGATGGAACAGGATGGAGCACGTGAAACTGCATCCTCAGCCAACACCTTGGCTACAGCCTGAGCAGAGGACCCAGCTAAACTGTGCCTAGGCTCCTGACCCAAGGAAACTATGAGATCATAAAATAAATGGACATGGTTTTAAGTCACTTGCATTCGGGGTAATATTGCTACACAGCAATAGTTCAGTAACGCATAGGCTTATACCTAAAATTGAATAGCTGGCTTGAGAAGCATAAAAAATTAAAAAGAACATCTTAGCCCTGGCTGGTGTGGCCCAGTGGACTGAGAGCCGGCCTGCGAACCGAAGGGCTGCTGGCCAGGTCCCCAGTAGGGGGCGTGTGAGACGCAGCCACACGTTGATGTTTCTCTCCTTCCTCCCTTCCCCTCTATTTTAAAAAAAGAACACTTTAGCACTGTAATTATAAATTACACAAAAAAAAAGAGATGGGAGAAAGGACATTTAAAGAAATCAGGGGAGTGGGATAGAGGGAACCCCCTTGAGGCTCATTTAAATAGACATAAATGGCATGATACAGGATTTAGTATGTAAACAATAGTTACTGAGTGCCCACTACATGCCAGCTGGCTGGGACGGAGGGGTGAGCAACACAGACATGTACCCTGGCCTCAGGGTATTTATATGTTAGTGACAGAATACAGAACACAGAAGTCTCAAGTCTTAAATAAACTCAAGTTCCTAATCATATTAAAAGCCCCAAAAGGGTTCTGTTTAGTGAAATAATATTTAGAAAAAGGTGAACAAGGAAAGGGAGAAAGACAGCTTTGGGAAGATAGTGCACTATTAATAGGCCCCAGAGGGAAAGTAGAACTATCCAATCGCCTTCTTTTGCTTCAGTCTCTTCCATCACTGAGACAAAAAATTTCAACAAG